TTTCTATGTCTTGATAGAAGGCTACAACAACAACTAGCATTTATATAGCGTCCTTCGGAGTGCTTATAATGAAGACAGGTAAAGGACATGTTTTTGAACCAGTCTGTGGTGTCTACGGTAGTCTTTTGGGTGAAGTGCTTTGAGACGCATGTTGTTGTTGAAGCACCCAGTATATGATATTATTTCTAAATTGTTGCCATAACATCTCTCTCATTAATAACATTTATGAACCCAACATTACAGAACAATGTTCACAATGTATTATTGAGCAGCATTTGGGTATGGTAACTTACGTTATCAGCTGCCAAGTACCTATTGGTAGAATTCCTCCCTCTAACACCAAAATTGCAGATCTTAACAATTCATGGAGTGTGTGTCAGACACTTAGCTACTCACTGCCAGCACATGCTGCCCACGGCTTCATTCACTGTCAACTTTCTGAATTGCATTATAAAGTTTTGTCAAATTAACCTGACATAAATCGCAGACTAATAGCCTCTCCATAAGACTGGAAAAATCACACTTGCAACAGGAAATCAAGGTTAGTTTCCTCAGAAGGAAGGTAATAGTATTCGACTCAATACTGCTGGAATAGAGGATGGAGGCACAGAGATGGGAGGGGAATTTTGTGGGTCACTCATGGCTTCCAGTCGTGCAAAACTCTTTGCTGAGAAGTTTGGTGCAAATAACCAGATGAAACTCTGCCAGTATTGGGAAGAATGGTATGGCATAAGATGAAGATGAGCACCTGAAATAGGGCTGGCCACGCTCTGTGTATATCATGCTGTGGTTTGCGGCTTTACCATAGTGGTAGTCTGCTCATCAAGCAGAATCCAAACGGTGCCCATACGTGTGAAAAAGAAATATAGGTCCCAAATATGTGTTAATAATATGAAAATAAAATTTGAGTGCAATTCTAAACTCCAACTGGGTGTGATCAGGTCAGGTTGTAAATCCTCGCAATCCGGAGTTGAGAAGTAAAAGCAATGTGAGTAGGTGTTCATTAATTAATGCTCTTTCTCTGACTTCTAATTCACTTTCCTCCATCTCCTACAAGATCGCTCACTTCCAACACAACCTCACCCCCATCCATGCCTTTGGCATCTCCAGACTCAAATGCCCTCTCTGCCACCATTGGTGGGTTATCTTTCAGCCCCTTTGCCCTGACCTCTGGACCTTCCTTCTGAAACCGCTCTGCCACTCCCTCTTTGCCAACAAATCCTCCGTCTGAAAACTCTTATCTCCTCGACTGCGCCTTAAAGCAACTATCTTCCTTCCTATCCTCCTTCCAGCTGGATCTTTCGCTTGGTTTTTGTGAAGCACTTTGAGACAATCTCCCTACACAAAAGGCCAACACAAGATCAAATTATTGTGTTATTTCCCACACTCGCTGCAGATGTTTTTTATTTGGGAATTTCTGATAAAAGTCAATGACAATCCTGTAACTGGAGACCCCTTACTTGGTATAGTGGTACAAATAATCACTTGCTGATTTCCGACTCGTATCACCGTACATTAGCACTCAAAATATTAAACTATTCTTGGAAAATAGCTTGCACGAATCCTGTTTCTTCTCTGAGGATCAGATTTCATATACACATCCGCAGGGGAGGTGAATAGCAAAGCTATAACATCAGTTGCTAACTGACCGGACTCTGAGGCCTAGCTTGTGCTGCTATGTGTGTGATCTGGAACCTCACAGCCACATATCCTCGGCTCAGGTTCCAAACTTCATTTTATTTGTTAGTTTATGGAAAGTCTTTAACTTTTCAAGTGTTTTTTTTGCAAAACATTTGAAATATTTCAACAGAAAATACCGTTTTTAAATAAAAGTATTTATTACTCAGGTTTTCACTTTATTGTGTTGATTTAGAAAGCTTTGTAAAAACTTTGAAAAATACATATTAAAGTTATTATTTTCATGCAGGAATAGACCAGTGATCTATTTAGTCATGAAATCAATAATAATTATTCTTGCATTTGATATAGCGCCTTATCACGTCATTGGGCTGTCTCAAAGCGCTTCACAGGATATACTGTAAAATGGAGTGACTATTTTGTTGGTGAAACGTGGCAGCCAATTGCGCACAGCAGTGTCCCACAAACAGTTGTGGATTAAATGACCAAATATATGTATTTATACATGTGTTTAACTTGCCAAAATCAAGTAATGTAACCGTTAGATCTTATTTTGTAGTAGGTTCTTGTGGTAATGTCTTTTTGTCTTTCTGGAATATGCCTTTGGTCCCATTTGGATCTTTGTTAATTTTCTTATTGAAAAAGCAACATTTTTAGAATGTTTTAACATAATCACAGCAGTATAATAAATGTTGGTTTATTTACAATGTGTTGTCAAGCGTGTATATAAAATTAGTGTATAATATGACTACTGCTTTTAGATATATTAGTATTTAACAGTAAAGCTTTTAATGTGCAATTAATTCAGCAGCAATAGCTTTCAGTTGATGGATCGTTAGTCCCATGTGTGACTGAGTGGCTGTTCAGCTCCATTGTATGTGTTACAATGTACTCTAGATAAGGAAAGAGCAGACCTTACTGTTTGCCGTGTGCCTATCCAATCTAATGAAAAGAAAACAAAGCATTGAGAAAAATTTATTGCTGACAATCCTGTCTTTGAGAGAAAGCTGCTATATGGTGTAAAAATAAGTGCAATCAGTATTAACTGTTGTATCATTGCTCATGGGGAGATGTTCTAACAAAGCTGTCTGCTTGTAGGAAAAAGAAGCAACTGTAATGAAAAATTGTTTAAATGACGATGAGTTTGAATTCTGGACTAATTGCTCTTTGAATTGTGAAAGATGTATTTTAAAAACAAAAATCAAAGTGAGTTGTCCATGGATTTCTGGGGCGTCCCAGTTGTGTCAGCTGGAGCTGATGGTAGTGGAACTTGGCAGTAAATGTGAACAGCGTCTATACACAGAAACACTCCTGGACCTGCTCATGAAATGAGTGTTTATGTGAAGAAGAATCCTCAGCACGTACTGGCCTAACGGTGCTGCTACCAGAGGCCGCACTAGTGATTCTACACTCTAGCGCTGAGCGTTTCATGATCAGCCCTGTGTGCTTCTCCAGAGGCACTTTGTTGGTGGCTGGTCATTAGTGAATCTGATTCATGACGACATTTTCTTTCGTTTTTATACCTCTTCAATTTTAATTACTTCTGACATGACAAAGAACAACATGTACTTACCTGTAGCAATCTGCTGTATAAAGTTTGATGTGTTTGATGACTTTTGATGACTTGTGTTGGAGTGATTATCTGGGATTTCGAGGCAGAGATAGTCAGACTGGAATAAAGGGATTGTTAATGAAAGGGCTGGTCATGGTTGCCTAATTGGAATGTAGCTGATTCTGGTGAAAGGCCTTGTAATAAGAAGCCAGCGATCGCTGTGCGACTCTTGTGCAAAGAAACATTGAGTGTTTCTGTGCACAAGAGCCGTTGCCAGAATAGTGTTAGTAAACTGTAGACTCTCAGCACCAAGCCATTTTCCATAAGTTTCCTTTCCTGCCATGTGAAGCTTGAATTGGCCACAAGATTAATTTGCAGCCATGTTTACGGATTATCTGTGAAGTATGTTTAGCCAGAACTATCGGTGGCAAAAGGACACAATTGTGTTTTTTAAAGAATAAAATGACCCGTGTGAACGAGATTTAATTTAACTGTGCCTCACAGCGATGGGAACAAAACCGTAGCCAAACCTCGCCAACGCATGAATGAATGAGTGTATGGAAATGTCGACTAAATGAAAGGAACTGACTGAGACTCAGTACACGAAAACAAAGATATATTGTGTCGATCAGAGGCTAGCAGCTGACGAGTGGAATTTGATTTTGTCTCACCTGTTTTCCCGCGTCAGCAAATTCAGAATTTCAGAAGCTAAATTAGTCAACTCATCTCGATATAGCACCCAGTTCACGCATAATTACATCAAGGGTATAGCTGTCGAGATGTTTGTTCACCACTGGCACTTTGATGCACACCTTGATCTCTTATTCTTCTCAGATCACAAGAAAGGCTCCAATTCTAGGTTGTATCTCAACAGTTTGACTATCACAAGAGAGGTTTAGATGAAGGATTCATTCAGCCCACATGATCTCATCCTGAAATACCCACCCTACCTTCTTCCCATTACTGCACCAAGCAATTTCTTGAATGAATCCAGTGTCCTGACTTCAACCAGTCTGCCTGGTAATCTGTAACAGCTGTTACTGCTCTCTGTAAATAAATAATTGCTTATCTCTGTCCAAAAATTGCTCTTCACAACATTGAACCTGCGCCCTGAAAGATGTTATGGATTGATTTTCTCTGTTGTTTAGCATCATGCAAACCTCTCGGATCCCTTTTGAGATGTCTCTTTTACATCCATGAAATGTTCATAGCTAATTGGTCAACCTCCTTTACTGCTATATGAGTGTCTACGGGAGATGTATTGACCTTTATCCCCTAAAGGATATTTTTTCCAGACATGTCTACTGGGTAATGCACCTACTTATTTTGTCAACTCCCTTGTGTAAAGCCTTGTTCACTTCACAGGTTTCTGAATGCAATATGCTTTTCAGTCTCTAAAGTTTACTTGTGCCGTGCAGGGCACAGCCTACACTGGCTGTGTTGTTTGGTGGTGTGTTGCTGCTAAAATCAGTTTGATATTGAACTAATGAGAGGATACTTGAGAATATAGCTGTGGGAAGCAACTGGTAAATTGAGGACAGAGTCTGAAGGTTCTTTATGCTATAATGTGGAAATTAATTCAGTTGAGTAGATTGGGCAAAGTATGCTGTGTATGTAAAAACAGTATGTAAGAACTAAGTTTTAAAAAGTCTGGCTGAATGAATCGCATCCTAGAATATTGTACTGAGGATATCGCTCTTTAGAATTAGTGCTCAAATGCTGTTTATATGTTGAAAATAGTTTATTGCCTGGGCAAATTGTGAGCGAGTGAAGGGTTTGCACTCACACCCCATCCTATTGAATCTTACAGAGCCGATGAAATTGAAATAATCATGACAGATGTGGAACGAGCCAATCAGGTAACCAATCTTTTAGAAGCCTTTCACTGGGTATTTGGCTGCTCTTTCTATCACTGTACCCTCTCCTTTCCTCTTCCCTCCCCCTCGCTCCCCCTCTCTCTCTCTCCCCCGGCCCCCCAACCCTTCCTTTCTGTGCCAAAAAAATCCCCTTTGGTCTCATCTGTGGAAAAATAAATTGAATAAAAGAACCTTGTTCCACTTGTTTTCATTCTGTCTGAAAAACTCACTGAGCTGCGACATTAATATCAGCAGGGATTCCTTGCTCCTAGCGTAAAATTACTGTCATAATCACTCAATTATTTCCTTCTTGTAACTGTTTAAAATGAATATCCATCACTTTCAGTATTTTCTCTTTACTTTATTAGCTTGACTGTTAAGGAAAATCTGTTCTAGTCAGTGACGCAGAAATTGATTAATGGAGCTGTATAATTTGTCAGCTGTTGAACTAGCGCATTTTGTTTTCCTTCCTTTTCCTCAGAGGGCAGAGGTGTCTCAGAGAGAGGCCGAGGCCTTACGGGAGCAGCTTTCCTCAGCTAACAAATCCCTCCAGCTGGCCACTCAGATACAGAAGGCACCTGATGTGGTAAGGCACTGCACTACGCACCATCAGTCACATCCAGGGCTGACTTACAACACATTTTCCACTTCAGAACTGTCGTATCCACTTTCCAACAATCCACTCATCAATTTCAGCTCAATTTTGTACATTTAAATTCAGCCAAAGCATGTGACATGCAACCCCACTTGGGGAAGTTGGTGCTCTAACCAGATGAAAAAATAACCAAAAATTATCAAACCAAAATAATGATTTAAAGCAACTTGCATGTTTATTTAACATATATATATATATACAGCGCCCCTCACACAGGATAGCGTCCCAGGGCGCTTGACAGTGGCGAAGCATGATGCCAAGCCGGGGGGAGGTGACCATAGACACGGTCGAAGAAGAAAATCTTCAGACATGATCTGAAGATGGGGAAGGAAGGGGCAAGGTGGACGGATAGAGGAAGAGTTTTCCAGAAATTTGGGGCTTAGTGGCTGAAAGTGCGGCCACCAATGGTGCAACGAAGGGCACAAGGGACAGGCAGGAGGCCGAAGCCAGTCAAGCGGAGGTAGAGGGTAGTGGTTTGCAGGACTTACAAGCCTTTCTGTTGCGTTCAAGGTTCAATTATTGATCTAGAAAAGAGCCGGTGAAAGGGGGAGGGGAGAGAGACAAGGTGATGGAATTGATCACTTTAATACTCAACTCCTGGATTCTAATTCCTTGTTTTCATTTTTCTGAGAATCCAATGCACTGCCCTGACTGCGTTCCCCAGGATCCTCAGGGCTTCCCGTTGCTCCAGTTTGACAACAGTCAGATAATTGAACAGGTCACCTGTAATGGAGCTTTTGTACCAATGCACAATGACGAGATTATACCATCAATATTGAGTGCGTGTCTGAACTGTACTAAAGTGACTGCCCTCTATCTGTAGACGTCATCCAAATAACCTTAAAAAAGCGGATTTTAAACAAGCTTCATAAATGTCGCATTCATGGTCCAAAACATGGCTGTGATTGTACATGTCTTGTTTACATCTTGTGACCTTGTACCTCTTGCATCTCCCTGACCCCGTTCTTGGGTTTCACTGACCTGCAACTTGAAATGGAGCTCAGTGATGGGCTGAGGCTGCCGCTAGGTTTCTGATCAAATGGTCTCTGAATAGCAATCAAAAGTTACCCTCCCACAGCCTGTCTGCTTTACGGAGCTGAGGTACCATGAAGAGGCTGAGAGCTTTGCCAACTTAATGATGAAATGCTACTCAAGGTTTTAAAATGATTTTTAAAGCAGTAAAACTACTCATTCCCATTTAAAGGAGCAGGTCAGAATGATGTCTCGTTGGTTTGCCTTCAGATACAGATGGACCTGAATTATCCCAATTCCGGATTTCACACAGTTATCAAATTCATCATTTTGTTGTAAATATAATTTTAATACAGATCATTACTTAACCACTAGTTACACATGATGTACATTTCAAAGGTGCTTTCCCAGGCTATGTAATACTCCCATTAGCAGTCCTGCTATTGAGGCTCTGTAAAACCAGTGCATTATTTAAAAGGAAGGACAGTGTGGGGGAAGCACTTCCTGGGCAGAGTTAGTGTGAATACCAAGTGTGTTACTATTCCTCATTGCTGGAGTTGGCTCGCATATTCAAGGTCACATCTGTAACCCAGGGGCTGACATCATTTGATATGTTAAACCTGTTAACTAGTTTAATTAGAAATGATTGTAGCAGTTTGTGGATGAAAGAAATATTGGCCTTGGCTTTGTATGGTACAATACCAATGCATGTTCTTTGGTGTCCTGACCAGGAGCAGGCCATCGAGGTGCTGACACGGTCCAGCCTGGAGGTTGAGCTGGCGGCTAAAGACCGTGAGATTGTGCAGCTCGTGGAGGATGTGCAGCGGCTACAGGCAAACCTGACCAAACTCCGCGAGAGCTCAGCAGGTCAAGTCTCACAGCTCGAGCAGCAGCTCAGTGTAAAGAACAGTACGCTGAAGGTGAGTGACCCCAATCCACTGCCCTGAGCTCCGCTCACCCCACCCCACCCTGGGCCCTGCCCTGTCCTGGGCTCCACCCGCCCCACCCGAGGCTCTGCTCAGCCCCTGAGCACCTCTCATGTTTAGATGAGAAATGTATGTTTCTTTTGCATGGACCAGGGTTACAGTTTTGAGTTGAAAGAACGTCAGTGAGTTTAGGCCGGGGATTGCTGTGTGGCCACTGAATGCCACTCTGTGTGCAGTTGGTTTGCTGAATCTTTTCAGGTGTCAATCATTCTGCATCTCCTCACTTGTCTTTTTCAGCAACTTGAAGAAAAGCTGAAAGGACAGTCTGACTATGAAGAGGTGAAGAAAGAGCTGAGGTGGGTGTGATTTTGGTGTGTGCAGATAACAGTAGGATTTAGTCCTCACCTGCTGGCTTCCTGGAAAACAATGGTACTATTTCCTCTTCCCCCCCCACCCCCAACCCTAATTTCTGGAGTTGGTTCTTAGCCATGTTGATGGGGTGACCCTATTGCACAAACATCTCCATGAACACCATTAGTTCTGTCCCTTTGAAGATCTGCCAGGAGATGTAAATGAGAGCCACAGTAAGCACCCCCCAGCTTCCACTCTAATCTCCCACAGTTCACTTGGACAAGACTTGAGAACTCTTGCTCAGGGGGAGCCCTGGATGTGAATGTCAGTGGAGCCTGGGATTGAACTCGAGGATACTCGTCAGGAAGCCAGAGCTGCAGTGTTGTGGCTGCTGGCTTACCTCTCAGCAAATATTTAAATTCCCACATTGGTGAAAACATTCTGTTTTTGTCGGTGTCTCCGCTTCTTGTTCATATGGGAAGCTCTCTACGTGGAGACTGACCAGGAGTGCTGTGCGACCGAATGTTATCCAGTACTTTTGTCTGAGACTGCGGTGAACCCAGTACATGCCAGTATGGAACAGTTGGCCTGAAACCTGGTGTGTTTCTCAGTTGATGTTAATTGCAGCGTGGTGGGAGGCTTTGTTTTTGCTTCGGGAACCCAATGGGCTTATATTCCTGTGTACATAGAATCATAGAGTTATACACCACAGAAGGAGGCCATTCGGCCCATCGTGTCTGTGCCAGCTCTTTGAAAAGAGCTTCCAAATCAATCCCGCTTCCCCACTCTCTCCCCATAGCCCTGCAAACTCGTCCTCCCCAAATAATTATCTATTTCTCTCTTAAAAGGCTTCCACCAGCCTTTCAGGCAATGCATTCCAGATCCAAACAACTCGCTGAGTGAAAAAATTTCTCCTCACCTCCCGTCTGTTTCTTTTAACAACTATTTTAAATCGATGTCCTCAGGTTACCAACCCACCCGCCAGTGGGACTAGTTTCTCCTTGTTCACCCTATCCAATCCCCTCATAATTTTGAAAACGTTTGAACGCCTCTCTTAAGTCTCCTCTTAACCTTCTCTGCTCCAAGGAGAATAATCCGAGCTTCTCTGCCTCTCCTGATAACTGAAGTCCCTCATTGCTGGTACCATCCTGGTAAATCTACTTTGCATCCTCTCCAATGCCTTGGCATCCTTCCTAAAGTGTGGGGCCAGGAACTGAACACAGTACTGAGGCCTAACCAGTGTTTTATAAATGTTTAGCATAAAACTTCCAGACTTATGTATTCTATGCCCCTATTTATAGAGCTTAGTATCCCATATGCTTTTTTAAAAGCTTTATCTACCTGTCCTGCCATCTTCAAAGAAGGTGTTACATTCTAACAGGAAACCTCCTCTCACAGAACCCTTTATTATCCAGCCACAAAATACAGCTAGAGCAAAATACATGTTCGAAATGTTTGTTTCAAGATTTATCCCCACAAAACTATAGCAACATTTGATTGTGATCACAGCGTGCGTGCTAGTGGCCACTCTAGAGTTTGTGAGAAAAAAAATCGTCACTGTAAAATCAGATCGGAAAACTCTGGTATTATACACCAGAAAAGAATCTGCAATTTTTTGTGGAGCTGTTTAGTTTGTATCCCTCTTCCTTGCCCACCTTTTGCTGCTCATCTCTCTCCCTTCTCTCTCTGTCTTCCCCCTTTCTCCCCACCCATCTCTTGTGCTGTGCTTCAGTCTTGCAGCAAGCTCTCCGCTCGTTGCTTAATTAAATTCCGTCCCGCTTGTGAGAAAGCCTAGTTTTCTTTTACTTACAGCTTTACAAAGCTAAAATATTTTCAAGCGCTCAAATCCATTAAACTGTCATTGTGTGCTCTCAAATTACATTAATAACTTATGTTAATTAAGATAAATTATGAATAGCTGGATGTTTTATCATTTAAATAGCGAGCACTTTTTATTATAAAATCAAGCCCCAGCCCTGCCCCAGTCGCTCTAGTTGGGATGTCCAGGCCAGGTGCTGCAGGAGGCACAGCCTTCCTTTGACACCCAAACTTACTGAGCCACCGTGTCCTCCCAGAACGTTGTCCTTGCGAGCAGGAGCCAGATGGAGAGGTGAGTGAGCTCTCGCCTAGTACTGCGCTGGGTTACACTGGCAGTCAATTTGTAATTATATGTTTATATTTCAAACATTGTTTGTCACTTTTTGTATTTATTTCTAGGGCAAATGAGGTGTTTAATGGGACTCATTCTTTTCAGAGAGTGCATGGGGTCAGAGCTGCCTGCTCACCTCTCCTCTGATTGACTTATATGATGGAGAGTTTGATCTTGTGCCAGAATTGAAGCTTATTTTGGGACGGGAACAATGCAAACATTTCAGGGCCAATGAGATCAACGCAAAAAGTAGGGATGGAGTATGACAGTCAGACCAGAGGTCAGGCTGCTGATGATGAGAGCACGGGATCATTTCATTAGTTTTAGATATTAATAATTGTTTGCAATAAACATTAACTATTTGAATTGAGGATAATTATCAAAAGTTTTGGAAATTAACTTTTTTTCTATCTCATGCTTAAGTGAGTATCCCTACACTCCACAATCTCAGCTAAAAAGCAAACACTTCAATTCCTTTCTTTTCAATTTCTCTCTCCGTACCCTTCAGAACGAGTTTCGAACAAATCCATCGCATTCTTCACTCCTTAAAGCGACACTGTTCAGCTTGTGATATGGAGAAAGGTTTCCTTATTTTGGGCAGATTTTAAATATCTGTGAAAATTTGTCTAATTTTAGAGCAAATCTTGAGTCAAGGTGTAGAGTCGATGATTTACTTTGAATAAGGTGTGAGTGAGGCATCTCAGGTTTGAAATGCAATATAAGAGGTATTCTAAAATCTGGTAAATTCAAACTACATCGCAGAGGTTGTGGGTGAGGTAGACCTGGGGCAAATACAGGTGTGCCTATCTGCCCATTGTGCTGCTGATGTAGATGGCAGAATAACACTCACATTGCATTTAGATCTTTTGTGTTAATTGGATGAAGACAGGATTACCGAGGGTCTGCAGGGAAGGACAAATATAGCACTTGTGTTTGTTCAATCATACGAGACTGACCTGGGAGAACATTAGAAAATGCCTAACCTGTGATTTCATGCTTGATATGTTGTTTAAACTATCCATGGAGCGGGGAAGATTTTCCAAATTGAACTTGCTCTTCACTAAAGTGAAGCTCTGAAGATTTCTTGCTGACAAACTTTGGGTCCAAGCTGCCATTTTGCTGTTGAAAAGCATAAGCCATCGCCACCTGGTACTGAGAGGAGAGTGTGGAGAGGAGTGCAGCAGTGTGTGGGTACTCCGATACTGAAATAGGGTAGATTATCAGCTGCCTGTTGAGCCATTCCTACTCATCAAACTCTACAATATTTGGCACGAAAAATGGACTTCTTTGCTTCAATATTCCGATTGACAGGCTTGCAGCTTCGCCAGTGTTTCGACTGTTAATTTCCACACGTGTGTCAGCCTGGCTCAGTGGTAGCGCCCTTACCTCCGAGTCAGAAGATTGTGGGTTGAAGATCTACGTCAGCACTTGGAATCACATTGTCTAAGCTGACACTACAATACAGCGCTGGGTGGGGTGTTGCATTGCATTTGCCATTTTTGTAGGTTCAGATGAGCTACTTTTTGTTTATTTTTATTAATTTATTATTATTAATACAAGACATAAAGTTCCCAAACAATTTTAGGAACTTGTGCTTTTAACTATCAATTCTCTGCAGGATATGGAAAATTTGTTGCTTGATTTTTTTTCTTTTAAATTAAGATGTTTGTTGGAACAGATGTGGCCGGTAGCGACTCACGCCTCCTTTCTAGCTTGTCCTGCCTACTCCTGGCCTTTCAGTTACTGTGCCCGTTCCCATGCTATTTGTTGCAGATTACAGTCTGATATTAAGGTAGCCTGAAGATCGCTTGTTCCATTCCTTGCTGGATGTAGATAGTGTTTGTCACAGCAATGTTCTGATTAGAATACCCAGTTAAGGCACATTTTTACTTTAACAAAGAATTCAGCGTGGATCCAGGCAGTTCACAGTAGTAACTGATCTGACATGAATAACCCCTAAAGGATTGTAGGCTTCACAATCAGCACAGGGGCTTTGAAAGCTTTTGACAGCTTAAAATGTTACATTCTTATTAACCTTTATATTTGCCCTCTAAAAACCCTTATGGAATAGCATACGCAACAACCTGGTTGACTTTTAACACTACTTTGCAGCCCAGATAGTTATGTTTGTTGGTGAATTCAAACTCTTTGGATATGGCATTGCCCAGTGATGATGTTACCAGTTTAATTATTTCTTCTGTGTATTGAGAGTGAGCAGTGTTGTGCTGCTCTCAGTGCTGTGGGTGAATGTTTTAGGTGGATCTGCCCAGCCTGTGATTGCTTGCGTCAGTACAAGGACATAGTGCAGTATTTAAATGCTGTTCTTTCCCTCTACAGTATCCTAAAGTCCATGGAATTTGTACCTTCAGAAGGATCTGGATCACAGGTATGTTGAGTTCTGTTACAACTTTGTTCAGTATATAAGTTCCCCAATTATCCCAAAGAGCTTCCCATGAGTAAACTGCAAATGATCTGCATCTGTCAATACAGATCGAGCCAGTGCAGCTCTGAAACTCCAGCAGAAGCTCTGGCTTTTTCAGGTTGTAAAGCGCGAGGTCTAAAAGTTTAGTTACACGGTCAGGTCAGCATGCACTCTGGGAAGGTTCCTAATGGGTTAAAAATTGTAAATATACACCTGGACTGTGTTCTGCTTTGTAAACAATAGATTTATATATGGAGTAAAGCACCTCAGGCATGTTCATCACCCTCTCCCTCTCCCCCGCCAACCCAGTGTTGTGCTTTTCAGAGCCATAAACTACTGCATTTAAAGGACTAGAATGGGATCGCAATTTCAGAGATTCAGGAATATGGAATCTTGCATGTCTCCCACCCCCCCTCCCCCACAAACACACACACTTGCTCACACACACACTCGCACGCACACACACAGTGTGTGTCTGGTTGTGGCTAAAGGTGTTCCTGACATTGATCAGGGTCAGAGCCCTGCAGCATCCAATATTTCCAGATACAGCAAACTGGACTCCAGTGATGTGGTTTGAAGACTTGATCTTTTGCAAACATGACACTTACAAAACTATCCTGAAGGAGTGACGCTCTTCATTGGGCATTCGCACTTGATCTATGTTTATTTTCCTCTATTTTTACTTGCAAACGTTTTGAAGAATTGCTTAATAATTGTTGAATAATACTTTAAAATCACAAACAACTCCTGTTCAATCTGTTTAGAACAGGCTGCCATTTGTTATAACGCTCTGCTGTGTGAGATGGGGTTTGGGTCTAAGGAATCACATTTGACATTACGGCGATGGAGTGGGTTACTGTTGGTTGCACAGCGTGTGTATATTTGCGAGGTTTGGAAGAGAGGGGACCAATCCCTTTACGCCAGCGTCATGTGAAAGCGAAGCAGAGTGTGACCTGGCGACAGCAGTCTGGTGCCTCCGGCTTGTCACTGGCGTTCGCTTTGTACCTTTCACTAGTATTCATAAGAATTTACAGAATGTGTAAAAAAAACTGATCAGTTCATCTTGTACTTTGGAGTATTTCAGTTAAGTACTAAATCAGAATGACAGGAGGGAATTATAAATCCCACACAAGTTGAATATTATCCTTTTAAATGCTAATGGGAATCCGTGTTGAAGTGTAACCACCTTTTCTTTACATGTTGTACTTTTGTGGATTGATCTTTTGCACCTAAAAGGATGAAAGTCTTTTTTTATCTTGTACGTCTGGAACTAAACGCCTCAGCGTCTGCCGCCGTCTTAATCGCAGAACATAATGTGCTATTCATTATATTTTGAAAAGGATTTCATCGGCGGAGAAGGAGTGAGGCAGGTCAATGTGGCAGTAATGTCTCTCGTACCTCACACACCTCTGATGGAGTAATAATGGGATCCAATCCTACTAATTTGCTCAGGATTGATGTTTTGGGTTTGGGGTTTATAGCAGCGAGGTGGGCACCAGGAATACAAATATTTTAGACATTTTGAGGAACATCTTATTTCAGAAGAAAGTCACACGATTCTAAGTGTCATATTCCACAAAGATCGGATGATGATTGAAGAACAAAATGAATAATGAATTGGTAAATGCTCCATATTAATGCACAGTATAGTGCACAGTGTTTTGTCCCTCGCATACTGTTACTGTGTTAATATGACACATGGTGACCCTGTTCGGGTTAATCTACACTGGAATCTTTCAGTGTAAATGCGTTTCACTTGTATCATTTTCAAATAAATCCTCCCAACAACAAAAAAACAATAATAATAGTCCCTCAAGAAAAAAACAATAAGAATTTGGTCACTCAATCCACGACTGTTTGTGGGACACTGTTGTGCGCAATTGGGTGCCGGGTTTCGCCCACAAAATATAGTCAATTCACTTTACAGTATATACTGTGAAGCACTTTAAGATTTCTAGATAGTGCGCTATATTAACAACAACAACAACAACAAGATTCCATTTATAGAGCGCCTTTCACGTCAGGAGGACGTCCCAAAATGCAAGGATTGTTGTTAGTAAATCTCTTCACCTACTCAAACTCAGCTGTAACCCAAGGAAAGGAGGCTTGAATGGACATAAAGAGAGATTTTACATAAAACAGCCTCAAGAATGGAACTGTTGGATTACAGATTAATTTAGTTGAGCAGTGAAACAGAAAGCACTAGGTACAATGTGTATCTGTGTCCTGACTATTTATAATGCTGAACAATGAACACATTTTCAGAAGAGAATTTTGGTAGAAATTCTGTGGGGGGGGGGGGGTTATAAACTTTGTATGAAATTTGTATGTCATTTATTCCACAAAGCAACCTCCTTCTCCTCACACAACTTTTTTTGAGGGAGGGGGAGAATAATAAAGATATCACACACAATACAGTTTGTAGAGTATTTTTAAACAAATGAAAGGGGAATGTTTGCCAGACAATTTTAATGAGATGCTGCTCCTTTAAAGGACTTGTGCATTGAAAGATGTTGCCTTGGGCTACATGTCTGCCGTTAATTTTGATTCCTAATGAACCCTTGATTTAAGAGCAATGAGTTCTGAAATATCACACGTTTAATGCTAAGTAAATCTGACTACATTACTTTTGCCTTATCAGGACACATCCAAGACCCTGGAGGTACTTCTGCTGGAGAAGAACCGATCGCTGCAATCTGAAAATGCAACGCTGCGCATCACCAACAGTGACCTTAGCGGTAGGTCTTTGTGTTTGTGACTACTGTCGCTGTATTTGGGGAGTGTGAGGAGCCGGGCTGCAGATCAAAGCCAGCTCCCGTGCATGGCAGTAAGATTTCTGTGTGTTTTGTACAGACTGGGTAATAGGAAGAAGCTTTAGACCTTTTGAGACAGTGTTTTTTTTCCTGAATGTTACTAGGATGCATTTGGTATATAAGCTGTGTTTTTCTCATTGGATTGTGTCTGAGTATATAATGGCGATTACAGTATTTAATTAAGTGTAATTAATGTCATTTGTATTTGGTGCAATTATCTCGCTGGGTAGGGTTTTTATGTGCTAAAATAACACATAACCTGACTGTGGTACTCGCACAATGTAACCGTTGGCTGTGGGCAGGGATTCTCCAGGCTGTCGTATACAAGAAAGGTACAAACATGAAATGCATGACTCCTGCCGTTTGGGGGCTATTTTGGCACATTCAAATTTGACCAAGTAAGGTCGGCACGAAAGCCCTTCCTAACCCTGCGTTGTTTGGGCTAAAGTTTACTCTTTTTCTCTTCAAGGTTTTACTCTTCACTCCCCCATAATGCATTGTGTTTGACCTTTCTTGTAGGGTCAGCCGGGAGAAATGGGAAAGACCGACTTGAGAGTCTGCGCCCTTCGACCTCACCATCCTCCCCTCCCTCTAAGTTGCTGCGTAACGCGAATGAGCAGGCTTCCAGTGCTAATGGTACGCACCAATTCTCACCGACCGTTTTAGGTCAAGACTTTTTCAACACATCATTGACCAGCTCCCCGTTCCCCCTGGCTTCTGCGGGGAAATTTGCACTAAATTCTCTTCTTCAGCGGCAGCTAATGCAGTCCTTCTACTCCAAGGCAATGCAGGATGCGGGAAGCACAACCATGCTTTTTCCAACAGGTCCCTACAGCACAAACTCCATATCGTCTCCCAGCCCCATCCAGCAGAACTCAGACCTCAACGGAATGATCCCCTCCCCCAGCCAGTCTGAGAGCGCTGGCAGCATATCTGAGGGTGAGGAACTGGACACAGCGGAGATTGCACGGCAGGTCAAGGAACAGCTCATCAAGCATAACATTGGTCAGCGGATATTTGGACATTATGTACTGGGGCTGTCGCAAGGCTCTGTGAGCGAAATACTGGCCCGGCCCAAACCGTGGAATAAGCTGACTGTTCGAGGGAAAGAGCCCTTTCATAAGATGAAGCAGTTCCTCTCCGAAGAGCAGAACATATTGGCGTTGCGCAGCATCCAAGGCAGGCAAAGAGGTGAGTCCTTCCTACTAGAACTGGTAAGGAGATGATATTTTGTCAGGTGACCTCTGTTGACTCTGTAGAATTCTAGTGAAAATGGGCATTGCTCAAATATTTCCCTCTCTGCGTACTTTAAGAAAAAAGTGAAACCTGAAGGAGAGCTAACATATAGGACAGAGGGGTAGGGAGAGAGGGTGGGAGGGAGGGTACGGCGAGGGGGGAGTGGAGAAAGACTCACATTAGTTAATATTTTGTAACCCATTATAATCTGCTTCTTGATATCACACATGTTCTGAACTGAACCAAGGTTCAGCCCCTAATCTGTGCTCAATTTGGTGAGTGTCGATTCAAAGCTCTGTTGGTTCAGTTATTTTTTCCCTTGAGGTGGCAGCACTAAATTGGCCTGGTGCCCCCTGGGGGCTGGAGTGAGGATACGAAACGAGGGCTACGGTTCCTTATTTACTGTGTAACAAACCATGCTGAGAGGAGTGTGTGTGTGTGAGCATGGGGAGGAGAGGAACTGTGTTCAGCTGGGATGCTGACTATGTCACTATGTGACTCAAGAGGTTGTGTGGTGACTGGGATGGGGTATTGGAGAGTTGTACTCCATCATGTGCTAACTTACACCTCCTTACAACAGGAATGTCAGTGACTTCCAGTATAGCGTCCCTTCTGGAGAGCAATGCAGCTCTTGTGTCCATTCCCAGGGGGAGGGGGTAAGATTCCAGGTAAAGTGTGGCAGTGCTGGTGTAATCTGGTCAGAAGTGCCCACTGGTTGCTGGTTGGTACCTTGGGCCACCAGAGATTCAGCACCAGTTTCTGTGGACTGGTTGATTGTTTGTGGGGAGGTGGGGTGATTGCCCTGTTGTCTGATTTGTTGTCAGTGGCTTCTTGTCAATAACTGATAATGTATTCTCAATAGCTCAAGCCTGTCACTCACTGTACCTCTCCCACGGGAACTGATCACAAGAGAGATAAGGGGGACCTTGTCTTTTCAGACTCCGGATCCTACCCCATTACAGCATCAAGCTGTTTCTTAAATTAATCCAATGTCCTGGCTTCTATTTCTGCTTCAGAAGGAAAACGACTTACCTGGTGGTGTACCGAGCCACAAAGACTATTGATGGCTTTACCCATTGCCCTGTCCCACTTGGGTACACCAGATGTTTAGACCAGACACAAACTTCTGATCCATTGTCAGACACGCCAAGGCAGTAGACAGGAGGGTGAAAGGCAAGTTAAGGGCAGACACTTGGAAATATTTCTTTACACTAACTGGGAATTGACAGTTGGAACAGATTTCTAGGAAGGATGGTTGAGACCAGGACACTCAGAAACCATTTGCTGCTATAATGGGAAGAAGATGTGCATCTGAAAGGATGAGATCTCAGAGTTCATCATCTGCAAAGCTCTCGTGGTTATTCTCTTGTGATCAGGTGTAAATTATTCTTTTACATTTTGTCAAAAACGTCAAAAGACTTGCTCTGTGATGACCGCTTTATATGTACAGACAGCGGCCACAGCTTCTGCACCTCATCCTCTCTGGGGTCAGGGCTCACGTGAAGACCCACTATTCAGGTCTGCTCTCCATCCTGTGCGAGTCACAGGGCTGTTGCGGATGTTGTGTTTAATATGGAAAGTGCCCATCAGTGAAGCGGCACACAGTGGCACGAGTCAGGTACTGCAGCTGTGGATCTGCCACAGCTTGTCCTCAGTTGGGTTTGGTTTTACCATCGTTCTGTGCTTTAGCCTAGCCTGTCATGTCGTCAAACACACATCTGTGATATTACTCTCCCAAGCCGCGTCTCCCCATTACTAACCATTGAGGCATTTGATTGTGCTCGTAAATGGCCAGAGACATGCTGATACGCCTCGGGTTTTCCCATGCCTCTCCCCCGCTTCCGGCACTCTCTTGTGTCAGACGTTCTGATCTCTGCTGGTGACGGAGAGCGGGGCTTCGAGCCGGGTTTCCGCAGTTGATTTCGGAGCCATTCCTCTCTGTCACAGTTATCTGTGCGCAATTGGCTGCCGTGTTTCGCCCACTAAATACACAGTCACTATTCTTTATAGTATATACAGGGCTTTGAGACGTCTCGAAGACATGGTAAGACGCTACATCAAATGCAAGGATTATTATTATTTTGCCGATGCAGCACTTGGAAACTGCAGAGTCACTGAACCCGATCTCAGCACAGGTTTAGATTAGGTTGCAAAGTGTGTTTCTTACACAATATCTGTCCAGTCATTTTCTGCTTCACTCCAAAGTTTGACTCGTGTCCTTTTGCTTACTGCTAACCCCAGGAATTGCTTTCCTGTAATCTCAACGCTGTGTGCAGGATGTCGCTGGATCAAATTATCTGCAGAGTAAAGAAACTGCAGCTCAATCGAACTGACTGTTTGAAGAAGTAGTGTGATGTGCCACAATGGTGTAGGATTAAAGGGGGGGGGGAGGGAGGGAGATGTGGATGATGAGGGTGTGGTGTAGATGTGGCGAGTTTAGGTGCAGCACCTTCTCCACACATGGGCTTTACACATATCGATTCAAACCTCGGGGAGGCTTTGAGGCATCTCTTCTGCACTCGTGCACTTAATTGTATTGAAGCTGCTGTGCAGGGAGGAGCAGTACGTGGAGAACTCACCAGTGTGGTGTTGACACACATGAGAGAGTTGCACCAACTCTGGTGTAATTTTCCTTGTTGCCAATTGCGCACAGCAATCCAGGCCAAAGCTCTGGTGAGTGGCCAAGGTTTCGCCCTGCCTGGTAGGAGGAAGGAAGCTCCAAGTTGTGTATTGACAGCTGTGGTGCAGTCTGGTAGAGTTGCTGGTCCATCACACACAGTGCCACAGCATCAGATCATATTTCAAATAATCAGTTTATTGATCTAGGATGAGCTAGTTGCCTCGGGCTGCAGACAGATTGTGAGGACAAAAAAGCCATTCATCTCAGCAAGATAGCGTGATGTTCAGTCTGAGGAAGTTTCTTTGATGGTATTCCTCCAATCTGTTTCATTCTCTTATCGATGACAATCTAGTTTCATTGTAATCTGAGTAGCTGACCTGCTGGCACGATCCTCACTTGCAGTGAGGTGCCCCCCCCCCCCCCCCCCCCGCCCACCCTTCCACAGCGAGGTCTATTCCAACATATTTACCTCCCAGCAACTGGGCAGGTTGCGTGTTGAGAAGGTGGGGTTACCAGTTGGGCAGGCGGCGGAGCGTGTTGGGTGGGCGGACGCCGGAGCGTGTTGGGTGGGCGGAAGCCGGAGCGTGTTGGGTGGGCGGGCGCCAGAGCGTGTTGGGTGGGTGGGCGCCAGAGCGTGTTGGGTGGGCGGACGCCGGAGTGTGTTGGGTGGGTGGGCGCCGGAGCGTGTTGGGTGGGCGGGCGCCGGAGCGTGTTGGATGAGCGGGCGCCGAGCGTGATGGGCAGGCGGGCACCGGAGCGTGATGGGTGGGCGGGCGCCGGAGCGTGTTGGGGGGGGTGTGCCGGGCGCCGGAGCGTGTTGGAGGGGGGGTCGGGCGCCGGAGCTTGTTGGTGGGCGGGCAGTGGAGCGTGTTGGGCAGACGCCAGAGTGTGTTGGGCGGACGCCGGAGCGTGTTCGGTGGACGGAAGCTGGAGCGTGTTAGGTGGGCGGGCACCGGAGCATGTTGGGTGGGCGGGCCCCGGAGCGTGTTGGGCGGACGCCGGAGCGTGTTCGGTGGACGGATGCCGGAGCGTGTTGGTGGGCGGGCACCGGAGAGTGTTGGGCGGACGCTGGAGCATATTGGGTGAGTGGAAGCTGGAGTGTGTTAGGTGGACGCCGGAGCGTGTTGGATGGGCGGGCGCCGGAGCATGTTGGGTGGGCGGGCCCCGGAGCGTGTTGTGTGGGCGGACGCCGGAGCGTGTTGGGTGGGCGGATGCCGGAGCGTGTTGGGTGGGCGGGCACCGGAGAGTGTTGGGCGGACGCTGGAGCATATTGGGTGAGTGGAAGCTGGAGCGTGTTGGGTGGACGCCGGAGCGTGTTGGATGGGCGGACGCCGGAGCATGTTGGGTGGACGGGCGCCGGAGTGTGTTGGGTGAGCGGACGCCAGAGCGTGTTGGGCGGGCGGGCGCCCGAGCGTGTTGGGGGCGGGCGCCGGAGCGTGTTGGGGGCGCCGGAGCGTGTTGCTGGGGGGGCGGGCGCCGGAGCGTGTTGGGCGGGCGGGCGGTGGAGCGTGTTGGGTGGCCACCAGAGCGTGTTGGGTGGGCGGGCGGTCGAGCGTGTTGGGCGGGCGCCGGAGCGTGTTGTGCGGGCGGAATTGCGTGTTGTAACTGTTATGAAGCACTGTTCTGGTGGCTGTTTAAATATCCTGTGTTACTATTTGGAAGAAGATGGAGAGGTTCTCCTGGTTTCCTCCCTCATCCCCAGGTTACCCAGACTAGATTGATCGGTCAGTCACCTCTTTGCTGTATATGGGGCATTGCCAACGTGAGTTAGCTCAGTCCATATAATGATCACTACACTTTAAAGTATTCATTTTGCCCACAAAACACACAGTCAATTCACTTTACAGTATACTCTGAAGCGCTTTGAGACATCTCAACGGCATGATAAGACGCTTTATCAAATTCAAGGATTATTATTATGATTAAGTAACTTATTGCTGGAAGCAATTCACTGTGATAAGCCACTGCATCAAATGCAACTGTTTATTACTCTGACACAAAAGGTATTTTTGGACTGGAAATAAACTCAACCTTGTGTTGCTGTGAGTGGGAACACCTCTCATGTCCTCACGGCCAGAGTACTTGAGGGGAATGGCAGCAGCTGGCTGGGTAGAGAGGTCACAGTACAATACTACGGGATACTTGTCAATTCTGGTAACACAAAGCACATACTTTCCATCATCTCTATTATAATAAAGCTTTGTAATCAAGATAATTGGTTGGAAAATGAGTTAACACAATTATAACAAGTTATTTTTTAAAAGCTTTTGTTCTGGTTAGAAATATGACTGAAATTGATCGACTGAATTTGCATCAGGAAATTGCGATGCACTGTATTGTTGGTTGACGTGCTTTGGTGCACTCTGTAAATGGTTTTAAGCCATTACAAATGTTGCTGCGACTTCTCTGTTCTGTAGTTCCACTGTAGCCGGTCCAGCAATGGTACTTGTTGTATGAACTGCAGTAAATGGCATGCTAGGTCAGTGTAAAGGAAAAATATACACTCCCCCTTGTTTTTTATTCTTATCAAACTTGTTTTTCAACAGAGGTTCCAGGCCAGAACATACAAAGAATGTTGCAGGAAGTAAAGAAACGAAGATATGGTTCAGAAGGTAGGTCATGGGAACTTCTGTCAATTACAGCCAATAGGGACGGGGTTCACTGTGCCACATGTAGCGGGGTCACAGGGTGTGCTGCTCCTCCTGGCCTGGAATCTGCTGGAAAATACAGAATGTAAGTCTAAAAACCAAGGAATTGGCTTCAAAACTGCCAAATAACACTTGCCGAGCTGTTGTTTGCATGCACTGCCCACGTGGGTTTATCCGAATAGCTGTGTTTGGGTGCAGGCCTGATTGCTGTTACCTTACGTTACACGTGGCTTGCATTTGTTTCACATCAGACCATTTCTGAAGCATTGTGTGTGTGCGTGTGTGCAACTGAAATTATTGAACAGCACTGCTCAGTGGCTGTTTGTGTGCATGCCTTATAGAATCATAGAATTATACAGCACAGAAGGAGGCCATTCGGCCCATTATGTCTGTGGCGGCTCTTTGAAAAGAGCTTCCAAATCAATCCCACTCCCCCGCTCTCTCCCCATAGCCCTCCATCTTGTCCTCCCCAAATAATTATCTACTCTCTTAAAAGCTGTTATCGAATCAGCTTCCACCAGCCTTTCAGGCAATGCATTCCAGATCCCAACAACTCGCTGAGTGAAAAAATTTCTCCTCACCTCCCCTCGGTTTCTGTTAACAAATATTTTAAATCGGTGTCCTCTGGTTACCGGCCCACCCGCCAGTGTCTGTTAAGATATTGTCCCAACAACACCATCAATATCTTAAAGTGAGTGTAAGCCTGGTTCAGTTGGTCACATTGTGGCCTCTGGGTTAGGCTAGTACTGGTTCAAGCTCCAGGTCAAGACTTGAGCTCACAGTCCAGGCTGACAGTCTAGTCCTGTACTGAGAGAGTACTGGGTTGTCAGAGGTGCATTCCTAAGGATGAAATTTTAAACCGAGGTTCTATCTGCTTAAGGTGAAGGTTCAGATCACTCTTTGGGAAACAGAGAGGGTAGATCAGTATTAATCCCTCAACTCAAATTCACTAAAAACGAACAAATTATTTCATCTAAAAGGCAAAATACGTCAGATTCTGGAATTCTGAAATAAAAGCAGAAGTGGCTGGGAACGTGCAGCAGGTCAGGCAGCATCTATGGAGAGAGGAAAGCAAGTTAACGTTTCAGGTCGATGACCTCTCATCTTTCACCTCACCAGCAACTTCTGTTTTTATTTCAAATTATTTCAACTTACACTTTATATAGCAACCTCCACACAGGGTAGCGTCTCAGAGCGCTTACTGTTGTTTGTGGGTCGCGCACACTTACTTCAAGATTTCATCTTACTGTTGTGTGTGGGTCAATGCTGGGCCAGCCTGTCACTATAAGAAGTGCTTTACGATTAGTGTGATAGGACACTGTATCAAATTCACTGCTTTATTAAATCCATAGATCTGAAGCATCCTGAAATTGTTTCCAGAGGACAGATAGTTTCAGAATGCTTTGGAAAGCATCTATTGGGCAGCTGAACTCTAAGTGACAGCCTAGTGATGGCTGAGGGGTTGTGGCTGTCTATCATTATTGGGGAACTTCAGAAGACTTGAAGCTTCTCTGAGGTCTCATTCGCCAATTCAGCTTTCACAAATGTTCACTGACAACTGACAAAAATATTGCATGTTTTTATACGTTTGTGCTATGAAGATAAATAATACTTATCCTTGCATTATACTGTCTCAAAGCAGAATATAATAATAATCCTTGCATTTGGTATAATGCCTTATCATGTCTCCTAGACGTCTCAAAGAGCATCACAGAATATAGTGAAAAGTGAATTGACTGTATTTGTGGGTGAAACACGGCAACCAATTGCACACAGCAGTGTCCCACAAACAGTCGTGGATGGGGTGACCACATTTTTTGAGGGATTATTACCCCCAGAAAAGTGATCCACCAATCGACTATCAACTTAGGGTTCCTACTTACTGCTGGGTAAACAGAGGAATATGGAGTAAGGAAATTTGACCAACGTTTTGCCCTGCCTGGGAATTAATGTAGTGCTTTTTATATGGAAACATTTCAACATATTTACCAGAACGGTACGTTGAAATGTAGTGAATGCTGCTGTTTGAATGTTGACAAGTGTAGCAGCCAATCTCTAGCACAAAGTCCAGCACAAGAAGCTGAGTGCAACTCCCACAATATCCAGTCTGGCAAAGTCTGGATGCGAATGAAAGTTCGGTGCAGGAATGAAAAGCAGCTCCTTGCCTCCGCACTGAATTCCAACCATTGCTAATGACTAACTTGATTGGCTTTGGTTTGTTTCAGTAAATGATTCTCCTCTTATCACAGCAACAGATGTGATCCTCCTCTTCAGCCTATGAGAAATGACTTTGTTTGTTGAACCTGTCAGTGGATGGCAATCCTTTGACACAGAAACCAAATAAAAGAGAGATGATAGAGAGTAATATGACATTTGAGATGCACAAATTTCTATCCCTCTCATCTGCTGAAGTGACACGAGCCCACTATGTTAATCTAATATTGATTTCCTGCTCCTTCCTTTTTTATTTGACATAATTTGATGTGACTCATTGCATTCAATTTTCATTTCTGACACTTTTAATTTAGATATACTGTTGTTAGCAGTATTGTAATTCTGTTTAATGGGACCCTGTTACGATCCTTACTTGGTGTAAATCTGTCCAACTACATGTTTTCTGTTTTCCAACATCTGATGCTAAATCTCTTTGATATTGAGGTCTATTAAGTCAGTGCAGCGCAGATTTGCACATTAAACACATCAGTAAGTTCAGCTACACTTTGGTCAGCTATAATGCACAGTGGCAACTACTACAGTGATTGCACCTTCAGTGGGCAAGCGGGCGTCAAATGTGTTCCGACTGACGTCTCCTTCTAGCACTGTTTTCTAAGCCCTCCAGGACGCCACGCCGTGTGAAGGGCGCTATATAAATGCAAGTTGTTGTGGCTTTCACTTAGTTACTGTTCTTGAGACATCAGAGAATAGGGGAAATAAACCACAAGTCTGCAACTAACCTGATGGTGAGTGGGTGAAGGCAGCTCGCTGTTGAGCTATACAGATCAATATAGTCCCAGGTTTCGTCCCTGATCTTCCCTTCAGCCTCTCAGCCCCTAGGCTCTGGAACTCTATCCTTGCCTTGCCTTGCCTCCTCCCTTTCCTCCTTCAAGGCCGGTCTCAAGACCTTTCTCTTTGACCGTGCCTTCAGCTCCCCTCTCGACTCTCTACCCTCTCCTCGCTCCCTCCCTTCCCTCCCCTCCCCCTGACCATTTCCCCCTTGCTCGGGTCCTGACCCAACTGTACAGCGCCTTGGGACGTCCTCCCGATGTGAAAGGCGCTCTATAAATGGAATCTTGTTGTTGTTGTTGTTGATCTATTGACTAATCTCATGGGAGTGATGCACTACAGCCAGCCTTACTGTCCTTGGGTAGAGAATAAATTCCTGATCTGTCTAATGGTCCAGCTAAACTGTCTGTGTGATGGTCAGATTGGGATCTGGGGTCAGGACAACCAATTGGGGGGTTGGGGTGATGAGCAGAATCACAGTAACCAAACCTGTTCAGATTTGCACCTTAAGGAACTGAATTTGAAACGATCAGATCTCAACTCAGAATCCATACGAGAAGAGACTTCAGCTCGATGAAAGACCAAGACCTCAGTGGGGGCCACTTCCAAGATTGGAAAGAGTAGGTGGGAGGATCAGGTTGTTTTACAAAGAGTTGTTGGGGGACACAGGGCATGGTGCTTGGATTGAGAAAGAATTAGTTTGAGGAGGAGACCAGGAGTTTTGATGTGAGCACTATGAGGAGGCAGGGAGAGTGTGTATGTGGTGGGATTGAGGGAGGAAAGTTAAGAGGAGTGTTAACTGTTGCTGCATTGACAGAATGGAGAAAGAGAGAGAGAAGAAATCTTGAGGATAATTCAAATCAATTAGAAGAGTTGTGTATCTTCCTAACAAGCCCAGACCTCGGAACTGGAACCTGTCAAATTGTGATTTGCCAGAAAGTTTGGGAAGTGTGTGACTGCTGATGGTTGGCATGTTTGGTTTGGGCTGGAGCCTGTCGCTGGGGGTTACCTCAGAGGCCTCCCAACCAGATGTTGGTGGCTACAAGTCTCAGGGCTGCCTGTCACAGTGTATCAGGCCATCACAGCAGCAACGTGTTGTGTCTGCTCTGAGCGGGGCTGCTTGATGGATTCCTCCTCAGGGGATATAAAGAAGCTGAGATGGCTTTTCTCCGCAGTCCTCCTGCTGATTTACCATGGACCCACACTTGTGGGAAGACCAGTGTTCTATCGCACTGATTTGCAAACAAAGTCTTGAACATTTCAATGGGCCGTTAGCATCCTGACTACAGTGGCCATGCTTCAGCAAGAGAACATTGTAAATAACACTGCGTGGGGCGCTTTGTGTTGGCCGAGTGGCCTGTGATACTTTGGCCACTGACGCATAATGTAGCTGCCATTACTGCTCATGAATATCATCACCATTTATCTTTAAGCAAATGTAGGCACAACATGATCAGAATTTGTGTGTACAGTACTTTTATTGCCTCCTCTTCCTTCATATTACCTTCATCCCATGTTATATAGAACCATAAAGTATCAATATGCAGCTGAAATTCATTCAGTCTTGCAGTTGTAATCCAAGCTTTGTTCTTGTGTTTTTGAGATCTGCTGAGAATCCAGAGACTAGATTTCAGGGATTAATTATCCCTAAAGTGCTGGTTTCTCTGTGAAGCAGTTTGATACGTTCACCTATATGAATGACACTATATAAGTGCAAATTGTTGGTGATTGGTTTGCACAGTACTGTATAACAGTTACATCGGGAATTTGCACTATTGTAATATTACGCTGTATTGGTGCATACGTTGGAAGGTTTGTTTGCAACTTCAATGCTGTGATTTGTGCACCAGCTGTTCTGATGCTGTTGTTTAGAGGAGTATTTTACATATTTGAGTGCTCTTAGATATCAAGCCACCTGCCTGGCTGTTCAGTTAGACTGAGCTGCTGTTCCTGAGAAATGCAAAAACTTATTCAGGTTTGAGTTTAAAGTGGACCAGACTTGTTTCAAGACGTCAATATAAATTGTATATGTACGTGAACATGCATTTTTGTGCATGATGGTACATGTGTACACGTGTGCGTGTAATAATTCAGTAGGTTGGATGTATGCTTCACGTTTTGCATGTGATTTTTGATTTGCTTGATTTGTGGCTTCTTTCACTAATGTTCTGTTAAATAATTAACCTTGTATTCTATTTAGGGACATTTCCAGCATATTAATGAGACCAACTCATATTAATTACAATAATTAATTTGTTGGAGGAATGGAATAGGAGGTGAAACAGAACCACATTAGCGCCCCCCCCCACCCCCCATTATTGTCTTGTCCGTACTTTGCTCCTGGTTTTCTTGCTGCTCCATATAAGAGTTTGTTGAGGAGGAGGGAGTTTGAGCACCATCCCTGTCCCATGGTTAGAGCATTTCCCACTCTCTAGCCGCACAGTGGAATTAAAGCAGCAATTGGAGACTATCTCTCCCTCTCTCTCCCAGGTACACTCAGAGCCATGGGTGTCTGTCAAACTGAGGCAAACGTGGAGAGCTACATGATCTGTTTCACAATTTGGAAAGATTAATCCATCGAGATCCTTAAAAACCTTTTACAAGTTAGTTAATGGAGGAAGTTGTGAAATGTCAGGAACCTGGTTTTAATCTGGCGATTGGAGCAGTTTGTGCTAAAGTAAAATTCTCCTCGGGCTAATTTAGATACTTTGTCTCTAGGCAACATCACCACAAGGATCAGGACCCCTGAGACTGGCTCCGATGAAGCTATCAAATCTATCCTTGAGCAGGCCAAGAGGGAGCTACAGGTGCAAAAAACAGGTGAGTTCCTCCAGATCATCCAGTGAGACCAGGGCCCCAGGCGGGAGGGGAGGGGGTGGGGGCGGGGAGTGAGACTAGGAGTCTGCGGGAGGGGGCAAGGCCAGATTTGCGATATTGATACCCGTTTCCCTCCCCTCCCTCTAAAAGTTTAGTATATTAATATTAAGGCTGTAACCTGGCTGTAGTCAGGATCCTGGCAATGAAAGTGCAGGAGGCCATCAAACCTAAGCTGGTGGGAGCTCATTCCCTGGAGCTATCCTATCCACTCTCAATCCAGTTGACTCCCCATTCAAGGTTATTGATTGGCTTTGGAATGAGACTTTCTCTGTCTTGTGTATCACAGTTGACTCTGCTCAGCCACCCTGCACGTCTGGCAGTGGCAGCTCGGATGAAGCCATCCGGTCGATCCTCGAGCAGGCCCGGCGCGAGATGGAAGCTCAGAAGTCCGTTCTGGAGCCCACGCTGAAAGCCACAGCTGTGTCTCATGCCGACCTGAACCTCCACTCACCCAAAGTGGCGGCATCTTCCTCCTCGCCTTTCTCTTCTTCCTCAGTCATAGCCATGAAAAAACCTTCTTCTTCCATGCTGGATTCTGGTAACTCTGCAGCACAGAGCTCACACGGGTTCAAAAAAGGACCGCATGACTCCTGCCCCTCGGAGCTTTACGGCATAGGGGATACCCCTCACAATGTGCTGAAACAGGTGAAAAACGAGCTGGGACGGGGCAGTATCTGGAGGGACCAATGGTGGAACACAGTCTGCCCCGACAGGAGGAGTTCCTTCTTCTCAGAAGACGGCAGGATGGAGGAGGTGAGCAGTGGGAGGGAACGGTTCGGGAACCCCAGCAGGCACGAGCGAAATCAGCTGCAGGGGCCTGGCTCGGCTGATCACTGGAAAGACTGGCAAAACGCAGAGTCACCGTACTCTGACCTGGGTACAGTGGTGGCGAGCAGTAGCGTGACCCCACAGAGCAGCCCGCTGCCCTCCTCGCCCCTCATCCCCATCGCCAAGCCACACAAGCCCTCAGTGCCCCCACTCACGCCTGAGCAATACGAGATCTACATGTATCAGGAGGTGGACACAGCAGAGCTCACCCGCCAGGTCAAGGAGAAACTGGCCAAGAACGGCATCTGCCAGAGGATCTTCGGGGAAAAGGTATTTACACTGATACAACTGTCCATTAAACAGCCATGCTGCTGGGGTTAAAGCACTGCCCTAATGCAGTACTACATGTACATCACACAGACACACATCCACTGCACTGATCTCAAGTGCAGCTCAGCAACCAGTGGGTATGGGGCGGGATATCAGAAATCAGTCAAGGTTTCCTCCCCTCCTTGCTACCAAGAGGACCCCCCTGATGTGAAAGCTGGATGAGGATAGGGTTGGGTCCTATGTTTAATACTTTCCCTCCTCCTGCAGCCAAATAACCTGACAAAACAAGTTGCCAAGGTTGGCACATGAGTTGTTGTCCTTTGGGTGGGGTAGCACCCATGGAACAGTACTCCTGGAGCAGGGTAAAAACTCCAGTGTTTTTAGATGAGGGGATTGGGTTCTAGGGAAGAGAATTAAAAAATGTGTTCAAGTATTTAGTCTCTTAGAGCTGCAGTGATATTCCAGTACTCATTATTGAGGCCATCAGATTGTCTGCTGGTTGCAATGGAGGTTAGTTTAGCCACACTTGCCTCGAATCCTTCCTCATTGAGAATACAATGATTGTCTTCCAGCAATTTGCCCTTTTCCCCCGTTTAGCAGAAAAGATGAGCGTCCTGGCCTGTGAGGACATGACGTGCTGCCCCCAGCGATGAGCCCAGCCTCACCGTGCGGTGGCTGATGTCTCACTGATGTTGAAGATGTAGCCTTGATTTCCGCCACATTGTTTAAAACGATAATTTCAATAATTTCTGGCCTCTGGCGCTGGCCGACCTGAAGGCGTGATTCCATTAAATTATACAATGGTTCTGGCTACTCACACAATGTCATAGCACCAGTGTGATAACACTTAGAAGGGAGCTATTTATCATTCTAATTGTCATCACTCAGGTGTTGCGTGTGACTCCTGAACCACTCACCTCCGCGCCAGCCCCATCCAATGACAGTGGAGCACTCCGCAGAGGAGCGACACCGGTGAGTCTCTGATTAATCTTTACCAAAATCCAGCGTTTTAAATTCCGCCCAGACCAGACCAGAACCATTGTATAAACATGTGGCGTCTGCGTGTTAGGCACATTTTCACATTGGTAAAACCAGCCCTGGAGAAACCCAGTCAGTTTGGTCTGTGTCGCATCGCATGCTTTCAAACCCATTGTGAAATGTCATCACATCAGACACAGCCTTCCCCTATCCCCCCCCCCCCGCCCCTTCCACACCCTCTCAGTATTTGTGACCGACCATTTGTGGGGATTAGCAAAGAACGTTGGTTCTGAAGAACGATAGACAGTGAGTATAATGTTAGATTATTCTGTGCTGACACCTAATGAATGGTCCAGTACAGACAAAGCCCCCTGGCCTTCCCCAGGTCATCAGTTCTCCAGGATAGGATTTGCTTTCTTATTTCTTAATATTATAGACGAGCAAAAAAATGCAATGAGTGAAATTGAAAACAAGAAGGAAAACGGGACATTTTTGGAGGGGAGGGGGTGGGGGGGAGACAATAACATTAGTGGTGCAGATTGCTATAAATTGGTGCTTTGTTATAACTGTGTACCAGTGACTCTGGAATCTGGACTAGTAACCCAGAAAAATAGTTTTGTGATCCCTGAAATGACTCCGAAATTACTTAGCGTTACCGTTATACTTCAGGATGTAGCGATTTGTCCATTTTAACACATGGATGCATCCTGTTTGTTTGTAAATGTAAAACCACACAACTTGTTTTTTCAACACAGCATAAATCAAATGCAGCTGATACACAATATTCTTGTTTTTTTCCTCTCTCTCTCCCCTACCCTCTCCTTCCCCCCCCCCCCCCCCCCCCCTTCCCTCTCTCTCTCTCTCCAGGTTTTGGGCCTCTCACAGGGGAGCGTCAGTGACATGCTGTCTAGGCCCAAGCCTTGGAGTAAACTGACTCAGAAAGGCCGAGAACCCTTCATTCGGATGCAGCTGTGGCTGAACGGTGAGCTGGGACAGAGCGTTCTCCCGTCCCAGGTTCAGCAACCAGGCCAAGGTAGGTCAGAGAGTAAAAAGTAATGCATTCTTCAGGAAATATTATCTCTCTATGAACAGAAGTATAGTTACAATACTGTTACAATGCAATGTTTTTGTTCCATAAAATCTTAACCTGCGTTACAGCAAAGTTTGATGGTGGGATTAACATCACATACACACAACCTGTGGAGTTTATTGTTGTTGTTGTACAGGGAGCGTGCAAAAAGAAAAAAAAAGTCCGACATCTGGGTTATTGGCTTGTGCAGGTGTGGCTTCACTGGATTCACAGGAACATGAGGGCTCGTCAGGTGCCTTTAGAACATTGCTTTCGTTGCTTGTTTATAAGTGGAAATCCCATTATAACTCTCAATAAATCGCAATGTTAGTACACAGTGGACCTTGTTTGAGAATGTTGTTAACATCGGGTGGCATCTCCTCTGGGAAGCTTGCTCAGACGTTGATGGAACTTACTGTGGGTAGTTTGCACTGTCAGCTTGTCATAGCTGGCTTGAATGACTCTCGCTTCTCAGACATAGAGTACCTTTTGTTACTTTTATTCCTTTCTCAGTAGAAGGTTTATTCTCATCTTCAGTTTAGTATTTCGGTAATGTTTTCCCAAAATGCTGAATACAAACAAAACAGCAGTAGGAACCTGGACACTGTCACCAGGCATTTTCTTCATTAGAAATCCGGAATCCATACACTTCTGTCGAACAACTGATCACGGTCACTTTACCATTTAAATATGTCCATAATTCAAGGTATAAAGTCATCACTGATCCTGTCCAGCGAAAGCTGCAATTCTGGTTCACACAAAACTCTAAAACACCTCAAAGTTATGAGTAGTTCGGGGCGTATTTGGATTTGTCATTGTAAATCTAGAGGCCTGAAGCAATAGTGAGACAGGTAGACAAACTACATTTTATGGGATTATTAAAAATAAAACCTTATTGTGACAGCAAGGAGGGAGCTTTCTACTAAACAGGGAAGGAAATTTGGCAGTGTTTTTCCTCATCGCTCTCCTTGTACAGTTCACTCGGGCTTCCATGCCACCCACAGCACAGAAACAGCTCCGGTCAAAGTGACAAATGACATTCTGTCCACCTGCAACCAGGGCTTCCTCTGCCTCATCATCCTCCTTGACCTCTCTGCTGCTTACAACACCGTCGACCACTCTATCCTCATCCACCGCCTCTCCTCTCACCTCAACCTCCTTGACTGGTTTAGATCGTACCTCTCACACCGCCTGCACCTCTCACACCGCCTGCATTTCATCTCCTCAAATGACTTCTCCTCTAGCCCCCGGACAGTCTCGTGCGGTGTTCCTCAAGGCTCTGTCCTTGGTCCCCTCCTCTTCAATATCTATATGCTCTCTCTTGGTGACATCATCCACAGACATGGGGTCAGTTTCCACATGTATGTGGATGACACTCAACTCTACTTCTCTGCCTCCACCCTTATCTCTAGGCCCACTGCTGTGCTGACAGAAAGTCTGTCGGACATCAAGTCCTGGATGAGAGCTAACTTTCTTCAGTTAAACGTCAAAGCCTGAGGCTCTCTTGACTGGCTCCCTCACCTCAGGCGCTGACAGCATCACCATCCATGGTTGCACACTTCACCTTGCTAAACTAGTCCGGAACCTTGGGAACTTGTTTGACCCTCAGATATCCTTTCCACCCCTCATCTGTCCCATGACCAGATCTGCCTTCCCCCACATCCGCAAGTTCGCCCGGCTCCGACACTGTCTCACACCACAGGCCACCAAAACCCTCATACATGCCTTCATTATATCAAGGCTCGACTATGCAAACTCACTGCTTGTTGGCATCATCAACTCCACGGGCTGCAGATCATCCAAAACCGTGTCCTCACCCCCACTAGGCTCCACAACCATATCACCCCCATCCTTGCCCAACTCCACTGGCTACCCATCACACACAGGATACAGTTCAAGATCCTAGTTCTCACCTTCAAAGCCCTGCTCGGTCTTGCTCCTGCGACCTCCTAACCCCCTACTATCCTGCCCGCTCCCTCTGCTCAGCGGGCTCCGGCCTGCCTCACGGCCCCGCCTCGCTCACCTCACCGTTGGCGGGTGGGCCTTCTGCCACTCTGCCCCCACCCTCCGGAACTCCACCTCGCAGTCCCTCCACCTTGCCCCCTCCCTTGCCACCTTCAAGACCCACCTCAAGACCCTCCTCTTCGATCGTGTTTTCAATCTCCCTGCTTCCCCCGATCCCAACCCCCAGCTCAGGTCCGGAACTCTGTCCAGCGCCTTAGGACGTCCTCCTGACGTGAATGGCGCTTTACAAATGTAATTTTGTTGTTGTTCAGTGGCTGAGATGGGGATGTGATCCCTGCCGTCTGATCTCTAACCAGCTGTTAGATGCGTCAGAGCGCTTCAAAGCCACTCCCTCATTTGGCCGCCTGTGTTGTAGGGATGTGCCAAAGAATTGCTACATGAGAGATTGTGGCTATAAACCCATCCTCTGTCAATCTACAGCGTCCTGACTGTTAATAGCAGTCTGCGATGCAACCAGGTTCTGGCCAGTCAGCCTCAGGCTCCCCCCCCCCCAGCGACAACAGTAACAAGTTGCACTCTTAGCACCTTCTACACGGGTGATACATCTCAAGACAATTAGGTCGAAACCATAGCTTTTATTTTAAAGGAAATGCTAAAATGAAGACGTTGGGAATGTTTTGTTAGTGAATGAAATAGAATCATACAGTAGGTGCTTGTGCAGTAGATCACTGGTTGGTCGGTGCCCTGTGGCTTGGCTTGAGTTTGTGGACATTGTGCTTGGGCACAGCTCACAGGCAGTAACAGCCGTAAGGTGACGTTGGCACCGGACATGTGATTGGTGACGTACCGATGCCGATCGGCCCCCACTATTACACTGATCTGGTTGCACAGTTATGGATTGCCTGCCTGCTGGCACCTCTCAGGATTAATATTGAAACATTAATTAATATAATGGTATAGAATGAATATGACTGAATTATTGCATTTTTACTAACTTTGTAATACATGATCAAATAATGATCAACCTTTTTTGTCACAAAATGATATTATTTTACAGCAAAACAAACGGGTGTCCGACAAGCTGTACATCGTGATTTAATGCCAAATTGGTTTAAATACTGGCGGGGATTAGTCCTGCTGATCACCATTAAGTAATTGGGTTTGAACAGCCCCGGACCCTACCCACCCCCCACCACCACCACCCACACCCCCCCCCCCATGCTCCCCATTTGTTTGGACGTGGGGGGAGTTTACAGTGGGATGTTTGTGAGGGACAAGGCTATGATGATGAATGTGGAGAGAGAGCTCTAGTTAACAAATGACGCGCCGGGGGAGCCAAGTGGCATTCCTTACTCGCTGCGTGCAGTTCAGCCGTGCGCTACGTATCTGTGTTATTTGGGCTCTTCAGTGAACCACACCGTGACCTGTGTGAACTCAATTTTAAGATGCAGCTGCAGTGACCCACAGGGAGTCTGAATTTTATGTTTGTTTAGTTCGTCCCCTGATATAATTCCCCATTCCTCTTGTGTGCGAGCACCACGCTGCCTGGTAATGGCAATGCCCAGAGGAGCAGTAGAAGCATTAACACAGCAGAAAGTGCCTAATTAGAATTGGTATTGTTAACGGCATAGGTATTTCTCTGAATAATTTGTCTTGCTTTAGGGATTCATAAAACTTAATCCCTTTTTAATAAAAGCAGAGGAACCTCCATTTTGTGTTTGAAGGGTTTTACTATCTCATATTAGACAGGACAAAATTAATCTTTACTTTTACTTCGGGCCAAAGTAACATGAGAAAAACTTGAATAAAAGCAGCAGCAGCACATGAGGAGACTGGAGACAAACACTGATCAGGAACCAAAGCATTTAGCATGTGGATCTCATGAAAGATTTCAGGAATGTCAATGGTTTGATAGATCAATAGAGACTGTCTGCCGGTCAGTCACAGTTTGTGTTATACAATGTAAATGGGGAAATGCCTCAGCACATCTGGCTGTTGAGATCGAGTCCATGATAACATTTGAAGGAAATTGGATCAATACTTTAGGAAAATATTAATCAGTTTGGGGAACTAGCAGTGGGATCGGAATAGAGGATAGAACCCCAGCAGGGGAGCTCTAAACAGCACAGTTACAATGGGCTGAATGTCATCCTGTACATTTTCTGTCATTATAATAATAATAATAATAATAATCCTTGTATTTGATATAGCACCTTGTTGCGTCATTGAGGCGTCTCAAAGTACTTCACAGCATATACTGTAAAGTGTAGTGACTGTATTTTGCGGGCAAAACGTCGCACCCAATTACACACAGCAATGTCCCACAAACAGCCGTGGATTGAGTGACTAAATTATTGGTATTATGTTTGTTTGAGAGAGCACAAAGACTCAGTATCGTTTTCCAGTAAATCGCAGACTTCTTGTATTCCAAGTGCCAATTCTTTGAATACCTTAACTTCATTCCAAAACAATCTTTCCTTCCACTTTTACTGTAAATGCCTAGTGAGGGTTTGCTTTGTGCGTCTGTGTTAACGGGTAATACAAGCAAGAAACAGTAAGGCAATCGAATGCTTCCATCCTGTTTTGGGATTTTCTCCATTTGACACATTTTCCGGCTGACACTCCATTTCCCAGTAGAAACGTGTTCAGTAATCATGTCACATAGAGCATGTGCAAGAACAGTGCTATGTAACTCACGATATGCTCTATCTCTCACTCTCTCTCTCACTCCCCACGACCCACCCCGACCTGCTTTGTGGCCCTGGTGTGTGGGTGGAGCGGGGGGTTTGCCCCGGGTGGTGGCGTGGCTAAAATCCTTTGTTTGCTGTACGATGAATGGTCAAGCACCTCATGTTGCGCTTCACAACCATGTACAGTTTTTACCAACCTTAGCAAGATTGTAAACTGGTGCAGACACCACGGAGTGTTGACGTACGTAGGTGCCTTCTGTGATAATGAATCGATGATTCATTTCTCACATTGCTATTTATAATGTTGCC